TAATAAAAAGGAAAAAAATTACCTGAAGCCTTGCTATAACTATCATCATTTCTCAAAGTTCATAGAATTTCCAGAAGCATATTGTTTAGGAAGTGGATGCCACTCCTGCTTCCAAGATCTTCTCTTCAGGAAAAAAATTTAAAGAGATTATGTTTTATTTTTCCTTCTAGATTATTTTACACTTCTGAATACAACTAATTAATGATTTTTAAATAAAATTTTTATTTTATACTGGTTTGCTTACAAGGTTCGTATACATTCTTTTTCTCATGGATCTTCCCCTTTCCTTTACCCACCATTCCCTCCACCCATCAAATTGTGTGTGATCCTGTGATTAATGCCCTCCCCCACCAGCCCATCCTCATGCCTTTGCTGCCCTCCCCACCTTAGATCCTCATACACATTCTACAATAATGGTCTTATACAGTATTTGTCCTTATGGAACTGAGTTAGTTCACTTAGTATAGTGCTTTCTAGTCCCTCACAAGACAACTAATTAAATAATAATTTTTTTAAAAAAATAATTGAAAGTCTAGAATTGGATGCCCTCTGAGAAAGTGCACTTGCTTTTATGTGTCATTAAGAATTGTGGTGTTGTTATGAGGTTCCCGTAAGCCAGGTATGACTCACAGTGCCCCTGTGAACAGCAGATGTGAACCCTCTCCTATTCTGTGTCATCCTCACTGTCTCTGACACCCTTGAGCCCATTGCCACAGTCACTGTAGTCCATCTCTCTGTGCTAATCCTCCACTTTCCAGGCATAATGGTCTTTTCCTTCTAACAACATACTCTGATGACCTAGGGATAAGAAGCTGCACTGCGATCCTAGAGGCACTCACGGTTTGAATCTTCCAGCTGCTCAGTGGGAGAAGGATGGACAGTCTCTGTGATTGACTGCCTCTAAAACCTACTGAAGTGTCAGCTGTGGGCCAGTTCCAAGTCAACAACACACAACAACAACATGCCCAAAGTCCTGCCTCTAAGGAGCACTTTGGCTGCACTTTCTCCAAAACTTATCTGTTTGTTATTTTGGTAGTAAGTGGAAATGTAAAAATAATTTTCAGGTGGTTATCCATTAGATTAAGTGCTTGTTGTTGCATTTTTGCACAGATTCTGGCTGGCAGTGGAAGACCTGAAGAAAAGACCAATGAGAGAAGTTCCTTCTCGTGTTCAGGAGATATGGCAAGAGTTCCTGGCTCCAGGTGCCCCCAGTGCCATTAACCTGGATTCTAAGAGTTATGACAAAACCACACAAAATGTGAAGGAACCTGGTCGTTACACTTTCGAAGACGCTCAGGTCAGTACTAGAGGGCTCTCACATAGTCCACAGAAATGCTTCTGAGACATTAACACCCCAGAGACTTCGTTTTTATTTTCATTTTAGATCAGCAGTCATTTCTAGTATTTTTAGTCTAAGTAACTCTAATTGATTGAGAAGAAGGCAGATATGCCTTAAAAGAGATGATATTCGAAGTCTAGGCCTTTTCTTGTAAATTTAAATACCTTTACAGGAGAAATATTTTGTATTGGTTGGTTTGCATACATGAGAATAATTTTGAAGAGGTGTATTTGAAATATTTTAAAATACTTTATTTTCTACTCTATCAACTGTGTGAGAAAATACTTGTCTAATGATAGACTCATTTATATGCTTTTTAAACCTGTGTGGTACCATCTAATACAGAGGTTATAAAATTGTAAGGTCCTGCTGAAAGACCCCAAACTAGGGCTTTACCCAGACCGGGCGCGACCCCGAGCAACTCACACCAGATCCACTCACTGCAATCACAAGAGGCTTTTATTGACAAAGCTTCGGGACGACTTGTATCTCACACAGGAGACAGGGAAGTCGACCCTGAGCCCAAAAAAGCAAGGGAATTTATACTAGGTCTAGGGGTTCTTTGGTGTGGAATTAACTCATTGGCCCTTTGAAAAAGGAGAAGTTCAATTTTAGGTCAGTTACCTGCTGCTGACGTTAGTTAAAATATGTTTTTTGCCAGTAATTGTTTTTTCAGTTTGTGGTCAGCTAGTTCCTGGAACACAAACATTCACACAAGATCAAAGGTATAGGTTCTTACAATACAGATCAAAGGTATAGGTTCTTACAATACAGATCAAAGGT